TTCTCCACTCTTTTCAACTCCGATTCCTTTTTCATAGCAATAACCAACACTACAAGCTCCACTAGCACTCCATCTGAATATCAACAACTTAACCAACAATGTTGGGATAACGAACCTACTAAGCGTCCTGAAATAATATCAATTTCTAAAACTTTAAAACAACTTATTGAATCTTTAAATCAACATACAACTGAAAATAGTGAACCTTACTAATAGAAGAAAAAAATTATTTTCCGTTTTTAAAAAAAAAAATAGTGTTAAAGTTTTAGGCCAACCTACTGCTAAAAAAACCCCGTCAATAAAGAACAATTAAATAAAAATGATAAATCCTCTCCCGTAGATCAAGATATAAGAGCACATGTAAATTCATGTGAAATTACTACGTCGTCACCTCTTTATTTACCTGATGCCATTAATTTGGAAGAATCACATGGAATAATATCAACTGAAACCATTAGCTTAAAAGACTCTCATGAATCATCACCTGATATATCAAAATTGAACCTTTTAACACAGAAAAATAGTAATCCTGAAAATAAGAAAGAAGAAATTAAAAAGGACGAAAAGAATCTTATAAAAAATCCGCAGAGATAGGCGATGTAAATAATGTTGGTCATTGCTATAAAGATGGAATCGGAGTCGAAAAGGACGAAAAGAAAGCATTCGATTCTTATAAAAAATCCGCCAAAATGGGTGATGCTCATGGAACACGTTATGTTGGTTTGTGCTATCAACCTGGAATCGGAATCGAAAAGGACGATAAAATGGCATTCAATTATTATAAAAAATCGGCAGAAATGGGGGATGCTCTTGGAATAGATAAAACTGGTACTTGTTATAGAATAGGATTAGGAACAGAAAAAGATGAAAAGATGGCATTCCTGTATCATCAAACATCCGCAAAGATGGGTAATATTGATGGAACATATAATACTGGCTACTGCTATGAAAATGGGATCGGAATTGAAAAGGACGAAAAGGAGGCATTCGAATGTTATAAAAAATCCGCAGAAATGGGTAGTGATAGCGGAACACATAGTGTTGGTTACTGCTATGAAAAAGGAATCGGAGTCGAAAAGAGTGGTGAGATGGCATTCGAATATTATAATAAATCTGCAGAGATGGGTAGTGCTAGCGGAACACTTAGTGTTGGTCACTGCTATTAAGAAGGAATCGGAATCGAAAAAGACGAAAAGAAGGCATTCGAATATTATAAAAAATCTGCAGAGATGGGTAGTGCTAGTGGAGCTTGTAGTGTTGGTTACTGCTATGAAAAAGGAATCGGAGTCGAAAAGAGTGGAGAG